TGGTGATTGTGATGCAAGATTATGTCATTAACAAATGGCTGCAGCTATAAATATTTTAGTACATGCAACATATATTTACCTTTCCACTTTCTTCCTGGATCAATTGCAAGTGCATTTAAGACCATAGATAGACTAGCCAGCCCACAATATGCAGGTTCAGATTGTGTTTGGAAGTAGGAAATCAATTTAAAAAATCCTTCCATGGTTCCATTTCGTAGGGCTTCAGAGAATAGTTGCTGAACTTTCAGGATAGTGACAGACAGAGAGAAAATTAGTGCATAAAACTGAAAAATACATTCACACTGTAATACATCAAAAAGACGCAATGTATAAACTATAAAGAGAACATCGATATTCAGGTGGTATAACCATACTTAAGTATCATAAATGAAAATTTTAACTTCTCAGTACAAATCTTAAGGGGAAAGAAAAAAAATAACTGAAATCGCTCGGAGTTAATGCATGCTCCTTCCTACTGGAAATACATGTCCTAAACAGCAGTTCAATTTTCTGTATTTGCCATGAATCTACTCGGTGCTTGAGGTTCATACCAAGATGTTACCTTGATGAACTAGGCCTGCAATACAAAGGGTGTTCTCATGATCCAGATAAGATCTACCACCTTGCATCCCTTTGATTCATTTTACTGCTGCTAGTTGAGATGATTGACAGGATGATGCTTCAGTCCTTCTGATAAAGGATTGCAGCGTGTTAACAAAGCCCAGGCCAAGCTTTCTCTTATTTATACCTTCATCTGATTTATGTTAGTCGAGGTGATAGAGAAGAGTATATTGACTATGGGGTCCTCTTGTGATGGGGCATTGCATGGTGCGAAGTCCACGCTAGGTTGTCGACCTCAACCTTGTGCTGTAACTCCACACAGGCCGAACTTCCAACACTCAACCCCACCACTCAAAGAAAAAGAAAAACTACGAAGGTCAGGATTTATTATGGCATCTTGAATGGTGGACACAGACTTGTTCTAACAGAGCCGATTGGCACGGTTGAAAATATATAAAACTGAATTTGACGTGGCTAGTTTATGCATGAATAATAGCAGGATTTTGGCGGTTAATTGCACGGCAAATTTGATTATGCTACACTGACAAGTCAACTGTATAGTACAACCACCTCAATCCAATCATTCTTACAACTGTGATGGGCAAATATCCATTACAATCAAGTGAAAAACAGACTTCAGTAACTGATTCCAGCTTATCATAATAATTTCTTCCACAAATGACAAAAGAGGTTTCAGCTTTCAACAACAAAGTAAAACCTGCTTCAATTTTGAATAATAGCTCCCTATTCGAGCTGTTTATGCAACTAATCTACTTCAAAATCCCTAATAACCACTATACAAACAGAAATTTGATCAGCGGAGATGAGAATGCAACATTTCGTAAACAGCAGATCTTTAGTGGAAAATACCTAATCCAAGCAATGGATATCACAAATTTGGGGGAAAATAAAGAGAATCGACACGAATCGTAGAAGAATCACCTTCCCCTCCGCTGAGGCGAACTCGATCGCCGGCGGCGACGGGAGAATCCGACGGTAAAGACCAGCAACCGCCATCTCTCTTCGCTTCGATCGCAGAATGTTAGGGTTCGATCTATCGATTTGAAAGATTCCCCCTTTTTTCTTTAATTATGAGAGGTTAGGGTTTTTAATTTCGGGGATTTGAGTCATTATTATTAATTTGGAAACCGCGAAATGGAGGATCCTCTTGCTTTTTTAAAAGGCGAAGGATGTTAGGCGAAGTGGCTGTGAGTGAAATGACGAAAACGCCCTTATGCTTTTTCGAGTACACTTTTAGAAAGTCGTAATGTCAATTCTTAATTTGGTGATCGTATTGATGTATTAATCTATGAAGCAGTCAATTTTATGGGACCCACTGTGCCAGTGGGTCCCACCTCCTCCTCTCTGTGCGAGCTGAGGCGCGCGCTAAAGCGCGTGCCAAATAGCACGACTGCAATTTTAAAAAAGGTATGCGCTCTCCCTCCTCAATTAGCGTCAAACCCATTTAAGCTTTTTGGCCAAAGTTTTTCATACAAAAACATATAACAATTTATTATCGTGATTAATTCATAGAGATTAACATGAGAGTGGAAGCATACCTGAATCCATTTGGATTCTCACGAATCTGAAACTTGTGTTTTAGATCTTCTAATGTTGAGGGTCTCTCTAGCCAAATTTCTCTCTAGATGGGGGTGAAGAGAATTAGATAATGTAACTCAAGATTATGGACCATAACCCCTTATTTATAGTTGTTGTTCTTTTATAATTTGGCCCCTCATCAAATTATAATTACAACCTGATATCCACACATTTAGCCCATGATTTATTTAAATACCCATTAACCCAAGTTTATTGATCATTTTATGCGGGTTAACCTTAAAGATGATATTATACACTAATGTAACATATATGCCCATAATTAGAATTAATCCAACAATCTCCCACTTGGGCACTATATGTTTCATAAAAATGTGTACAACCTTATGAGCTCAGAAATTGCTATCACAAATAAGGGTATTTCCAAACAATCTCGTCCATTGAAAATATCAATATAGCATCAAAGCGGCCTTCGTCACATTTATCGTGACTAAACCCATCAATGGTCACATATACCAATACAATCAAACGACATAGATCAATCATGGATGCGCAGCATGAAAATTACATGCAATGTGATCAGTACATGTCTATTTTTAACTGGTCCTACCTTAAACTTTAGTGATGTCAAAACCAAACATAATGTAACAGAGTGACTTAACTGAATAACTTATTCTAATCAAATAATATAACCAAACATAGAGCACCAAAAAATTACAAACTCACACTAAATCATGATATCCTCGAATAATACCACACCCATATGAGCGGTATGCTCAGGAAAGACCTCGGGTGGCAATCCTTTAGTATGAGGATCTGCTATCATGGAGTTTGATCCAATGTGCTCTATGGATATCTGTCCACTCTGTACCCTTTCTTTCACAACCAGGAACTTAATGTCAATATGTTTTGACTTAGTTGAACTCCTGTTGTTATTGGAATACATAACTGTTGATTTATTATCACAGAATAACTTAAGTGGTCTTTCAATATTTTTTAAAATGCGCAGTCCGGTGACAAAATTTCACAACCATATTTTATGATTGGATACCTCATAGCAAGCTACAAATTCTGCTGCCATAGTGGAGGAAGCTACGAGTGTCTGTTTGATACTTTTTTATGATATAGCTCCTCCTGCTAACATATAAATGTAGCCTGATGTAGACTTTCTGCTATCTTGGCATCCAGCAAAATCAGAATCAGATTACCCAATGACCTCCAGCTGATCTGATTTTCTGTATGTGAGCATATAATCTTTTGTTTTCCGAAGATACCTCATAACCCATTTGATTGCTATCCAGTGATCCATACCAGGGTTTCTTAAGTATCTGCTTAACAACCTAATAATATATGCAATATTCGGACGCGTATATACCTGAGCATACATTAGACTTCCTACAACCGAAGCATAAGGAATCTTCTGCATTTCCTGAATTTTAAGGTTACCTTTAGGGCACTGATTGAGACTAAACTTATCTCCTTTAGCAACAGGGGTGTCACCTGGTCTGCAACCTTACATGCCAAACCTTTTGAGTACTTTATCGATATAGCTCTTTTGTGATAATCCAAGAATACCTCGAGAACGATCTCGATGTATCTGGATTCCTAATATGAAAGAGGCATCCCCAAGATCTTTCATTTCAAAATTCTTTGATAGAAATCTCTTGGTTTCGTGCAACATGCCTATATCATTAGTGGTAAGCAATATATCATCGACATACAGCACCAGAAAAATCTACTTACTCCTACTGAACATGTGATATACACATTCATCAATAACATTCATCTCAAAACCGAACGAGATAATTATTTGTTGAAACTTATAATACCATTGACGAGGAGCTTGCTTGAGTCCATAGATGGATTTTCTTAATTTGCAAACCATATTCTTCGGGTCACCTGATACAAAGTTTTCTAGTTGTACCATATAGATCATTTCATCAATGTCTTCATTGAGAAATACAGTCTTAACATTCATCTGATGTAACTCAAGATCAAGGTGAGCAACAAGCATCATTATTGTTCTGAAATAGTCTTTCGATGAATCTGGCGAGAAAGTCTCTGTATAATCAATGCATTCCTTTTAGGTATAGCATTTAGCTACAAGACGTGCCTTATACCTCTCCACGTTACTATTTATATCCCGCTTGGTTTTAAATATCCATTTATAACCAATTGGTTTTACACCTTCTGGCAATGAGACAAGTTCCCAAACCTTATTGTCTTGCATAGACTTGAATTCTTCATTCATGGCATTAATCCACTTTTGAGAGTTAGAACTTTTCATAGCTTGAAGGAAGTTGATTGGATCATCTTCCAACATTCCATTATTTTCCTTATGTTTTTGGAGAAATACAATATAATCATCCGGAATAGCATTTCTCCTTTCTCTCGTGGATCTCCTTAATGGCACTGGTTCTTGAGGTTGTTGAGTTTGTTCTTCTGGAACAGGGAGTTATTCAACATTGTCTTCTTAAGGTTCCGAATTCACTTCTTGATCAATAATAGGTATAGGAACCTGAATATCGTCAAAAGTGACTATATGGTTAAGGTCTGAAACCAATTCCTCCTCAAAAGCAATGTTTCTATCCTTATTTCTCCTCCCAAATTCAACATCCTCAAACAATATTGATGTTCCCGTCTCAAAAATATTCATGAGTGTGGGAAGAATTTATAGCCCCTAGAACGTTCAGAATACCCAATAAAGTAGCTGCTAATTATTTTGGAGTCTAATTTTTTTTCATTTAGCCTATAAGGCCTTATCTCGGCTGGACATCCCCAAATATGTAAGTACTTTAAACTGGACTTTTGACTAGCCCAAAGCTCATAAGATATTTTAGCAACTGCTTTACTTGGTACTTTGTTCAAAATATAAGCTGTTGTCTTTAGTGTTTCTCCCTAGAGTGACTCTGGTAAAGAAGAATGAGCAATCATACTTCTTATCATATCCTTAAGAGTCCTATTTCGACTTTCAGCTATACCATTCATGCTAGGTGACCCCGGCATGGTGTACTGTGGGACAATATCGTATTTCTCTATATATCTAGCAAATGGTCCTGAATGTTGTTCACCTGGACCATCATATCTGTCGTAGTACTCACCACCACGATCAGATCTAACAGTTTTAATTCTTTTGTTGAGTTGATTCTCAACTTCAGTTTTAAAAGCTTTGAACATGTCCAGAGACTCAGATTTCTCATGAATGAGATATAGGTAGTCATAACGTGAGTAATCGTCTATGAATGATATAAAATATTGTTGGTCATTCCAAGATGTCGTAGGGAATGACCCACAAATATCTATATGTATCAATTCTAAGACATCCGAAGATCTGTTGACACCTAATCTCTTAACTTTGGTCTGTTTTCCTTTGATATATTCAACACATACGTTGAAGTCTAAAAAATTAAGGGAATCCAAAATGTCATCAGACACAAGACGCTCAACTCTACCTTTTGAGCTATAACCCAAGCGCTTATGCCATAGTATCGCCAAATTTTCTTTATTTAATTTACGCTTAGTACCACGTGATTCCACATGTAATGATTCGTTATAAGAGGTAATTGTATCAAGTAAATATAAGTTGTCATAAGTACTCAAGTAACTAGTTCCCATAACATTTGAATTAAAAGATAAACTGAATTGATTGTTTTCAAATGAATAAGAATAACCTGATTAGTCCAATATACAAACAGAAATCAAATTCTGTCTAAAAGAAGGTACTACAAAAGTATCTTTTAAGTCTAAATATGAACCAGTTCCTAATAGCAATCTAAAGTGCCCTATTGTTTTCACATCTACCGATTGTCCATCGCCCACAAAGATGTGTCTTTCAACATCACTTGATTTTCGGTAGCTCAGGTAATCCTGCATAGAAACACTTATGTGAGTAGTAGCACTAGAGTCTAACCACCAAGTGTTTCTAGGTACTGAAGCTAAATTAACCTCATCACAAACCAAAGTAAGGAACTTACCCTTTTTAGCACGCCAGACGTGATATTTGGTACAGTCTTTGACTTGTTGCAGAAGAAATAACCCTAATCATCCTTATGTTGTTTCTTCTGAACAGGACCCTTAACAGCTTCATAATCATTCTTTCTTTTCAGGATAAGAGGCATAAACTAAATGAGCACTTTTAGTCTTATCTTACTTCAACCTGTCTTCTTCTTGCACACAATATGAAATAAGCTCATTTAGACTCCATTTCTCCTTTTGGAAGTTATAACTGACCTTAAATTGATTGAATTTTGCAGGAAGAGACAATAGAACCAGATGCACCAGTAACTCGTCACATAGGTCAAGTTTGAGTGCCTTAAGTTTTAAAGCAATATGAGATATTTCTATAATATACTCCCTGATATTTCCTTTGCCTTTACACTTCATCGAAATCAAGCGAGCTAATAACGTATTTGTTTCTACCTTATCGTTTTTCGCAAAACGCTTCTTAATTCCAGCAATGAAATCTTTAGCTTTAGTAACCCCTTCGGATTCTATACCCCTGAAGGCTTCCGGAACGCTGCGCTTAATGATCATGAGACTCATACGATTTAAACGCTCCTATTTCTCATACTTCTTCTTTGCATCAGGAGTGTTATCC